ATTTATTTTTTATATATAATTTTGGGTTTTGTTCCACTTTTTCTCCCACTCTTTTAGGACATTCTAATGAGATCCCAACATGGTCATGATGTATTATTTTTTTGATATGTTGAATTTTATTGGCTAAAATTTTGCTCAAAAATTTTGCATCTATGTTCATGAGGAATATTGGTCTATATTTTTCTTTTTTAGTTTTGTCTTTACCTGGTTTTGGTATGAAGGCTATGCTGGCTTAATAAAATTTATTCAGAATCAGAAAGATTTAGTAAATATTAACACAACAAAATTGAAGATGCAAAGAAAACCCACAAACAAAATGAATTCAGTGCAGAAAATTATGTGGAACAAAGAAACCAGCAGCATCCCTAAAAAACACTTAACAAAATGACAGCAGTCACTTCATACCTACTGATAATTACACTGAATGTAATTATCAAGAGCCAGAGAGAGCAGAATTGATACGAAAACAGGATCCTTCAATATGCTGTCTACAAGAGACACATCAAAAAGATGGAGGCAGTGTAAATGCCTACCAACTAAAAAATGGTTAAACAAACTTTGGTATGTAGACCAACAGAATACTACGGAACACTGAATAATAATGATGAATCTGCAAAACAGCAAAACACCTCATGACATGAATGAACCTGAAGGATATCATACTGAGTCAAATTCATGAATCTCAAAAGGACAAATATTGTGTGATACCAATGTTGTAAAAAGTTCAGAAGGAAGGGGAAATTATTTACAGGCAGGAGGGTAGACACATGTTAACCTGGGTGACAGGGAAGGCATAGACAAAAGGGAGGTTAGCAGAGGAAAGTCAAAGGTAGAGGGAAACATGGAGGAAAGCAATGTTAAAGTGAATAGAGGTTAATGCTGTTAACTGTTGGTACATGGAAGAGATTGCAATCACTGTAATGAAGCAAAGTATATGCTTTGTGGAATGAAAAACTGACGATGTGCTCTGTAAATGGCCACTCAGTTCACAGTAGTTTTTGTTTTTAATGCATTCAGGAGGTTTTCTATCTTTTTCTATGTTCTGGAAGACTTTGAATAAACTGGTGCTCCATCAGTTCCTAGAACCTTGTTCTTTGTCAATGCCTTCAGTGCACCTTGGACTTGTCCTTTCAGTACCATTGGCTCTTGATCATATTCTACCTCTTGAAACAGTTGAATATTAACCATTTCTTTTTGATACAGTGACTCTGTGTATTCTTTTCATCTTCTTTTTGATGCTTTCTGCATTATTCAATTTTTTGCCCAAAGAAGCCTTTAGTACTGCAAGTCGAGGCTTGGATTTTTTCTTCAGTTCTTTCAGCTTGATAAATGCTGTGTGTGTTCTTCCCTTTTGATTTTCTAATTCCAGATCTTTGCACATATCGTTATAATATTTGACTTTGTAGTCTCAAGCTGACCTTTGAAATTTTATGTTCATCTCTTTTACCTCCTCGTTTCTTCCATTGATTTAACATGTCTGTGCTGAAGAGCAAGATTCAGGGCCAGAAAGTGTTTCATTCTGTTGTGCATGGTCTCACAGAGATAAGACATAAAACCTACTTCGTAGTACTCTTAGAACCATGCAGGAAAAGCAGTGTTTCAAGGATATCTGTTTTGTAACTATTGTGGTAATCAATTTCTTATCATTTAAAAACACATAATATAGAATTATAGTGACCTCTCCTGGCTCATCATAATTAATGAGAAGACACAGGAATACCTTCTTTAAAGCTATAGAATTCAGGAAACATGTTGAGTTTAAGGCCATTTTTTTTTTTTTTTTATGCTTTCAAAAACAGTCTAATTTAAACTTTTGTCCTCTTTATTACTTTTTTAAAAGTTCCATAACAACATAAATCAAATTTGTTCTTTATATTTAAAGAGAATCTTTAATGACTTCTTACGCTGTCTCAGCATAGTTGGTATTCTGAAAAGCATGTAAGTCTTCTTGTTGTTATTAAGTGCCATCAAGTCCTTTCTGACTCATAGCAACCCTATAGAGAGTTTCCAAGGAGTGGCTGGTGGGTTGGAACTGCCAACCTTGTAATTAGTAGTCCAGTGCTTATTCTACAGTACCACACACCAGGACCATGCACAAATCAACCTTGCATATATTTAGTTTTTCATCCTTTGATTCTTCACTATTTTGAGACAATTGAAATTTCTTAACAATATCAAAAAAGCAGTCCTTGGATTATGGAAAAATTCCATTCCTTAATCTGTCTCTAAGTCAAATTTGTACATAAATTGGAATGCCTAAGTATGAGTTAGTTAAATATTTGTCTTAGTCTATTCTGTACACTGTAGCTTTCTCTCTATAAAAACATTTTTAAGCACTACCAGTTATACTAAAACATCTTAAAAACAGTAATAATAATTATAATGTTTTGATAACAATGTTTTGGGTAAACAGGAACAACTAGAATGGAGAAATTAGGGAACAAAGCCTTGGAAAGGAAAACTTGGAAGAGGCATAGTGAGCTCTTTCATGAGTGAGATACAGAATACTGAATTACTGGCAACATTGGAGAGGGCCACACACACTCAAAGTGTCCCAGTTGGTCACCATCTATGAGCTGGACACCACTGTTTCCAACTCTGCAGGCAAGAGATTTGGGTGCTATGTGATGCACACTGTCCTATAAGGGAAATTAACTTGCTGGCATGGCTGCAACCTCTAACTTTTCACCTTTTGCTTACCACTCCAGTTCACCAAATTTTCAAAATTCAGGTCTGTTCTGGTGTCACTTCCTTGGCAATGATTGAACAGGGCTGAACCAGATCAAAACCCTGATTGTTCTTAATTAAATTAAGCTGTTAATCGTCTTATGGTGGTGGTGGTGGCTGTGTGCCATTGAGTTGTTTCCAACACATAGAGACCTTGAATAGGGTTTCCAAGGCTATAAACTTTTATGGGAACAGAAAGCCTCATTTTTTCCCATGAAGCAACTGGTAGATTCAAACTACTGACCTTGTAGTTAGCAGCCCAGCTTGTAATCCACTATTCTAGCAGGGCTCCTTAAACAACTTACAGAGGAATATTTCATATAGGAAAGTGATCTGTCTCTTACTTTGCATTGCTGGAGCACTAAAGAGATTAATATGTGTGTATTTTTCAAATTCAAACACTCAAAGCATTTCTTTATTCTTATCTCTTTTTTGGAATACTACTAATAAAAGCATATCATAATAGAACCAACATGTACACATTTGTTAGAATATATTTCTCGCTCCAAGAATCTAGGTCTATTTTACAAAGATCATTTTTTCTAAATCTTAAGAGTTTAACAAAACATGCTCATCTCTATCACAGTTTTCGTTTCAAGACTTCCCACATTTCTTCAGTTTGCTGTTTCGCTACAGCGTCTCCAGAGTAGTCTAGACAGTTTGCATTCCACATGCCAATGCCCCGTAACCCATGGTTTTGTACATATGCTGCTTTCAAAGAAATGCTCTTAGGGTTATCATACCACACCTGATGAAAACGGCCAGAAGAATCCTATAGAGATAAAACAGAAATTCTAAGTATTCAGTACAATAAGAGTAAGGAGATTTCTAAAATTCAGTGCTTCAAAGGGATCCAAAGAAATGGCAGAAAAAAGTCTTAGGGCACAACACTTTCCAGCCTCTTTTACTCCATGGTTCTATGATGCTTTCTAGATATTATTGCTTATGGTAATTAACAACAGCAGAAATGACACAAATGAGCCTTCTAATATATTCCATTTAAGATCCTTCTCATCCCCTAATATTTCTGCCTTGAAATGCACATCTGAATCACTTGCAGGACTTCAAAAAATACAAACTTCTGGACCCTACACCACAAGTTATCACTGAAAACCCTGTGGAGCACAGTTCTTTCCTGAAACTAATGGAATCTCATCATAAGTTGAAATCAACTTAACAGCAACTGATTTTTTCTTCTGGGTTTACCAAATTGGTATCATGAAACACCATTCTTTACATAGTTTTCTAAGAGTAGTGTGGGTTTACCAAATTGATATCATGAAACACCATTCTTCATGTAGTTTTCTAAGAGTAGTGTGAAACAGGGTTTTGTGCTAAACAATTACACAGCTCCATGTACTCAAGACTTGTTGCCATGTGTCAAATCTGATTCATAGGGACCCTACAGGAGAAAGTATAACTGTCCATAGGGTTTCCTAAGTAATAATATTTATGGGAGCACATCGCTAGGTCCTTTCTCCCATGGAGTCACTGGTATGTTTGAACTGCCAACCTTTCAGTCGGTAGCCTTTCAGTTAGCACTTAACCAATGCACCAACGGAAATCCTTGCAGGATTCCTTAAATCTTTTAATACACAGTTTTAAATTGTATATCTCCAGGAAGGATATATATAGGATACTGTGTTTTCCAAATATATTCAGCCATTGGGCAAGTGTATTTGTATGTGTATGTATGTGTATGTAATATGAACAGAGTTCTATGAAATTCTGTTTGGCAAAGACAGGATTACAAGACACCCTACTTAACTAATAGGCTTATGCTTCAGATTCTAAAGCTTAGAAAGCTCTATACTACCTGATATGCAGGCATCTACATGTGTATCAATTGTTGTTGTTGTTGTTGTTGAGTGCCATCGAGTCGGGTCCGACCCATAGCGACCCTGTACAGGGTTTCCGAGGGTGTAAATCTTTACGGGAGTAGAAAGCCTCATCTTTCTCCCGCGGAGCAGCTGGTAGTTTCGAACCGCTGACCTTAAGGTTTGCAGTCCGATTCGTAACCACTACGCTACCAGAGCTCAATTATACTTTATTAAATGTGGGGGTTGTAGTCATAGCTTACAAAGGGTTGTCAGATTATTAGTCAGGAGCATACACTCTAGCTGCAATGAGCTTATGTCATTTTGGAGCACCTTCTTAATGAATCTGTTGTTATTGTTAATTGCCATCAAGTCAGTTGTAACTCATAGTGACCCTATATAAGGTTTTCAAGGAACATCAGGTGGGTTTGAACTGCCAGTCTTGTGGTTAGCAGACCACTGTTTATCCTACAGTGCCACAATTAGAGTTTTGAGGTACTAAAAAATTTTATTACACTAAAGACAAACTATGAAAATTATCATTTTTCTTGGCCTCTTTAGCAACTCCTGTTTATCAAGCAACTGACAGAATTGCTACTTTATTACTGTATTTCTTCAGGTTTCTTTCATAATACTTCCTGTCTCTAATTTTTAACATTATTTATAATTTGACTTTTTGATAGCATGTAGTCTGAATGAAAAAGTAAGCTTGAAATGATGCTGACTTTCCCCTATAAAGCCCATCATGAGGGGCAGCTCCCGTTCTCAGCCTCACTCCTACCTAATCAAAGCCTCCTCAGCATCTTTACACTACTTTGAAATGGCAAAAGTCATCATAACAAAAATCTTGTTTGTGATGTGCACTTTTGTAGCATCACATAAAATAATAGGTGGTCCAAGCAGAACAAATCTACTATTGCTCTCCCTAAAAAAATGAAATAACTTGAATTGCTTTCCCTAAAAACATGAAAACCAAACCCACTGCCACTGAGTCGATTTTGACTCATAAAAGCCCTGTACAGGGTTTCTGAGGCTGTAAATCTTCACGCGAGAACACAGCATCATCTTTCTCCATGGAGCAGCTGGTGGGGTTGCAGTTATTAGCCCATGTAACCCACAGCGCCAGGAGCTTTCTGTCTTGAGAAACTCTGGGCACCAGTGTAAAATACAATCGCTTCAGAGTTAACCCACCCAGGAATCAAAAATTCTCAATTGTACAGATCCAAAGATAACTTATTCAAGTAAACAACTGTATATTATGCCTTAAGAAAAATATAAAAATTCTTATATCAGGAAATTATGAAAATATCAATTAAGAAAATGAGTAACTTTCCTAATTTATATCCACTTACTTTATAGCTATAATAAGGAGCTTGCTGGTCTTTATTCCACTGGCTTCCAGAAATAGAACTATTTACTTGTTTCATGATCACTTTATAGGGCACCTGACGTCCCACGGCATCACTACAAGGAGCTCCCCGGAAAGGGACTTTTGTAATGGTGCAAACATCATCCTAGAAATACAAATATGATCACATTACAGACCTTTAGCTATTAATTCAGCAAATTTTAAGGTGTATAACACAACTATTATATAAAAATACTGTTTGTTAGAAAGAAAAATCCATGTTATAGACAGATAATCTGACTATAAAGAAGAAAATTTAAAGTTCATTATTAAATAAAAATATATGATATTTGAAGCATTCATGGGACTGAATAATTAGAAAAAAAAGTTATTGACTTTTTAGTATCAAACTAAATATCAAAAATTCTAAATGCAGCTTATATTTTATTAATAAAAGAAAATAGACTTTAAATATATATATCACAGTAGAAAAAAATACATAGTACAGGATCTGTTCTCACCTCAGATAGTTTCAGGCAAGTATAATCGTAACCATACCAGGGAATACCCATTACAAGCTTCTTGGGGTTAATACCTATTTTGATGTAGTCATCATATCCTAATCAAAAAGGGAAAGAAAAATCAGATCTTTTCCTTGTCGTACGTCTTATAAGGTGTTAATGCAACCACTTAGAATCTAAATTTGTAAAAACAGGTAAAATTTATGCAAAGTGCTAAGACAGTGTTCCTCTAATATGGTACTGTAGAATTTATTTATCCCTGTAGAACTATAAATTTCATCTTTTTTATATAAAACTACTCCTTTTTGAACAATAGAAAATATTCAAAACAAATGAGATGAAATTCAATTTATAGACGCACAAATTTTAATCTAGGAAGAATGACACATTTTTGGAAATTGTGCTCATTTTGTTCAGACATGATATGCCAGATTGTTACACATATAATCCAAGTAGACGTCTTTGCAGACAGTGCAACCCCGTGATGGGTTCATTTCCTATGCATGTTGTATGCATTATACGCATGTGCCTATTGTTGTGCCACTCTCCTGTGGTGCTGTAGGATCAGCACTGGACTGCAAACCACAACGTCGGCAGTTCAAGTCTACCAGCTGCTCCTTGGAAACTTTATACTGGTTGCTGTCAGTCGGAATTGGCTCGACACCACTTAACAACAACAACAAATTGCTTGCTTTATGATAAGCACTGGACCGTAAGGTCAGTTTGAATTGCAAGGTCAGCGGTTCAAACTCACCAATTGCTCCTTAGAAACCCTATACATGGTCATTATGAGTAAGACCTGCTCTTAACAACAAGAATTGTTTACTTGTTGTGTTACATGCAAAAATAGAGTAGTTGATGTTCTGGATTCTTATGTTTCAAAAGGTTCTATAATTAGAAACATTTCTGGCAGTGATGGTTCCAAAATATCTTATAGATGTCATGTTTTAGAAATATCCTATAAGTGACAGCTGGAGATATGAAATGTGTTCCTGATACTCGATAGCAGATAATCTGTAGTTGGAGGAGACAAAGTGAAAAAGGAACAAATGCCTAGTACTATCATCCATCCCTTTCCTTGAACAACACTACAAAGCATGCTTCCCCACCACTTTATGGAAAATAAAGATGAGAAGGATAATCAAGAATGGAAGGAGTGAATTTTAGAATACTGATGGTAAATGGGTTCATTAGTATTTAAAGATAATTAAAATTGGTTATTTTAAATTTTTATTAGAGATTAAACTGACTTGTATGGACCAAGTGGTAATTCATTGACATTTTTATTATTTCTCTAAGAAATGTCCAAACAATTTAAAACAAAGTCTATTTATAAGCTAGGGAATTCCTCTAAATGGATAATAAAGAACTGATGTTGTTTTTAAGTCAGTTCTGACTCATAGCAATCCTGTATGGGGTTTCCAAGGAGCAGCTTGTGGATCTGAACCACCATCTTAGTGGTTAGCAGTCCAGTGATTATCTTGCAGCACCAAGAGAACAATTAAATCCATATTCACATTTTAGAACAGAAATCCTGGTATTTGGCAGAATAGCTTATGTGTACGATTATACTTCAGAAACAATAAATTGAAGAGGAATGGTGACACATTCACCATCAAAAAGGACATTTCAAGATCTTGAAGTGCATTTGTGATAGAATAATATCCATGTCTACAAGAAAAACCATCTAACATCACTATTATTCAAATTTATGCTACATAAAAGCCATGGATGATATTGAAGTTGAAGAAATCTCCCAAATTTTTCAGTATGAAATTGACCAAACATGCAATCAAAATGCATTGGTAATTACTAGTGATTAGAATGTAAAGGTTGGAAACAAAGATGAAGGATCAGCAGTTGGAAAATAATGGTCTTTGTGATAGAAATGATGTTGGAGACTGCATGACAGAATTTTGAAAGACCAATGACTTATTTGTTAGACAACATAAAAGGCAGCTATACATATAGACCTCACCACATCAAACACACAGGAATCAAATTACTACATCTGTGGAGAAAGACAGTGGAAAGCTCAGTATCATCAGTCAAAAAAAAAAAAAAAAAACAAGGTTAAGTGCCATCTTTGGAATAGACTATCAGTTACATATATGCAAGTTCAGGCTGAAGCTGAAGAAAATTAAAACAAGTCCATGAGAGCCAAATTGTGACCTTGAATATATCCTACCTGAATTTAGAGAGCCTCTCAGAAACAAATATGATGTATTAGACACTAATAGATGAAGACTAGAAGACTTGTGGGATGACATAAAGAACATCATGAGAGACAAAAGAAAAAGGTCATTAAAAAGGAAATAAAAGACCAAAATGGATATCAGAAGACACTCTGAAATAAGTTCTTGATTTGTAGAGAAGATAAAAGAATGGAAGAAATGAGGAGTTAGAAGAGCTTAACAGAAAATTTCAAAGGATATCTCAAAAGGTCGAAGTCAAGTATTATAATGAATTGTGCAAAGACCTGGACTTAGAAAACCAAAAGGGAAGAATACTCGCAGCATTTCTCAAGCTGAAAGAACTGAAGAAAACATTCAAACCTTGTCTTTAGATATTGAAGGATTCCATGGACAAAATATTGAATGATACAGACAACATCAAAAGAAGAAGCAAGGAATACACATAAACTCACTGTATGAAAAAGAAATGGTCAATGTCCAACCATTTCAAGAAGTAGCACATGATCAAGAACCAATGGTACTGAAGGAAGAAATCCAACCTGCACTGAAGGCACTGGCAGAAAACAAAGCTCCAAGAATTGACAGAATACAAATTGAAATCTTTCAACAAAGTGATGCGGTACTGAGAGTGCTCAAGTATCTATGCCAAGAAATTTGTACGACAGCTAGCTGACCAACTGACTGTAAAAGATCCATATTTGTGCCCGTTACAAAGACAAGTGACCCAATGGAATGTGGACATCACAGAACAGTATCAATAATATCACATATAAGTAAAATTTTTCTGAAGATCATTCAAAAACTGTTACAGTTGTACATGAACAGAGAATTGCCAAATCTGGATTCTGAAGAGGATGTTGGTATAGGAATATCATTGCTGATGTCAAATGAATCTTGGCTGAAAATAGAGAATACCAGAAAGTTATTTACCTGTTGCTTTTTATTGACGATGCAAAGGCTTTTGACTGTGTGGATCATGACAAACTATGGATAACATTAAGAAGAATGGATATTCCAGAACATTTAATTGTGTTCATGAGGAACCTGTACATAGACCAAAAGGCAGTTAGAACAGAATAAGGGGATACTGAATGGTTTAAAACTAGTAAAGGTGTGCACCAGGGTTGTGTTCTTTCACCATACTTGTTCAGGCCATATGCAGACCAAATAATTGGAGAAGCTGGATTATATGAAGAACATGGCATCAAGTTGAAGGAACACTCTTTAACAAACTGTGATATGCAGATGAAACAACCATGCTTGCAGAAAGCGAAGAGGACTTAAAATACTGGTGAATGCTGCTGTTGTTAGGTGACATCAAGTCAGTGCTGACTCATAGTGACCCTCTGTGCAACAGAACGAAATACTGCCCAGTCTTGCGTCAACCTCACAATCGTTGCTACATTTGAGCCCATTGCTGCTGTCACTGTGCCAACCCATCTCAAGGGCCTTCCTTTTTTTCTCTGACCCTCCACTCTACTAAGCATGATGTCTTTTTTCAAGGACTAGTCCTTCCTAATAATATGTCCAAAGTATGAGAGACGAAGTATGCCCATCCTGGCTTCCAAGGAGCATTCTGGCTGCACTTCTTCCAACATAGATTTATTTGTTCTAATATCAACTTCCAACACCATAACTCAAATTTATCAATTCTTCGATGGTCTTCATTAGTCATTGTCCAACTTTCACATGCATATGAAGCTATTAAAAATACTTGAGTTAGGGGAACCTTAGTCCTCAAACTGACATCTTTGCTCTTTGCACACTAAAGAAGTTTTGCGTGGCAGATTTGCCTAAGGCAATATGTCGTTTGATTTCTTGATGTTACTTCCATGAGGTTGATGGCTGATCTGAGCAAAATGAAGTCTTTGACAACTTCAATCTATTCTCCATTTATCTTGATATTATTTATTAACCCAGTAGTGAGGATTTTGTTTTCTTTACATTAAGATGCAACCACACCAAGACTGTGGTCTTGATCTTCGTCAGTGAATATTTTAAGGCTTCTTCACTTTCAGCAAGTTGTATCATCTGCAAATCACAGTTTGCTAATGTATAGTCCTCCAATCTTGATGCCATATTTTTCTTCATATAATCCATCTTCTTGGATTATCTGCTCAGCATACAGATTGAATAATACAGCATACAGGGTGAAAGAATACAACCCTGGCACACAGGGCACACAGTTCAAACAACTGAATCTTGGTCATTGTACAGGTTTCTTATGAACACAATAAAGTGTTCCGAAATTCTCCACAATGGTGTCCATAGCTTGTCATGATCCACACAATTGAAAGCCTTAAATCTTTCTGGTATTCTCTACTTTTAGCCAAGATCCACCTGATGTCAGCAATGATATCCCTCGTTCCATGTCCACTTCTGAATCCAGCCTGAAATACTGTAACTTCTCTGTCAAATGTATGAATGCAGCTGTTTTTTAACTATCCTTAGCAAAATTTTACTTGCATGCAATTATTAATGACATTGCCCGAAAATTTCCACATTCCATAAGGTCATCTCTTTGGAATGGGCACAAATATGGATCTCTTCCAGTCAGTTGGCCAGGTAGTTCTCTTCCAAATTTCTTGGCATAGATGAGTGAGTGCCTCCAGTGCCACATCACATTGTTGAAAAATTTCAGTTTATATTCATCTATGCCTGTGCCTTGTTCTTTGCCAATGCCTTCAGTGCACCTTGGACTTCTTCAGTATCATTGGCTCTTGATCATATACTCCCTTTTGAAATGTCTGATGATCAAATATTTCTTTTTGGTTCATTGATTCTGTGTATTCCATCTTCTTTTGATGTTTTCTGTGTTATTCAATATTTTGCCCATAGAATCCTTCAAGCAAGTCAAGTCTTGAATTTTTTTTTAATTTTTTTTTTTTTTCAGTTCCTTCAGCTTGAGAAGTGCTGAGTGTGTTCTTTCCTTCTGGTTTCTCCAGGTATTTGCACAGCTCATTATAATATTTGACTTTGTCTTCTTGAGCTGACCTTTAAATTTTCCTATTCAGCTCTTTTACCTCCCTCATTTCTTCCATTTCCTTTAGCATCTCTATGCTGGAGAGCAAGTTTCAGAGTCTTCCTGACATCCATTTTGGTAACTTGTTTCTTTCTTGTCTTCTTAATGACCTTCTGCTTTCTCCTGTATGTTCTTGATGTCATCCCACAACTTTTCTGGTCTTCAGTCTCTAGTGTATCATGCATCAAATCTGTTCTTCAGATGATCTCTAAACTCAGGTGGAATATGTTCAAGGTCACATTTTGGCTCTTATGGACTTGTTTTCATTTTCTTCAGCTTCCACAGTCTGCCTCTGGCCTTGTTCAGGAACTTTTCTACTGTCTCTTTCCAAAGATGTAGTCAATTTAATTTCTGTGTATTCCAACTTGTGAGGTTCATGTGTATAGTCATCTTTTAAGTTGCTTAAAAAAGGTATTGGCAATGAAGAAGCCATTGGTCTTGCAAAATTCTATTATGCGATTTCCAGAACTGTTTCTGTCACCAAGACTATATTTCTCCATAGCTTCCAATACACTACAGACTGAAGACCAGAAGAGGATCATCCTTTTCTTTGTTTCCAACCTTTTCATTCCAATTGCCAGTAATTATCAATACATCTTGATTACGTATTTAATCAATTTCAGACTGAAGAAGTTGGTAGAATTCTTCAATTTCACCATCACTAGCTTTAGTGGTTGGTATGCAAATTTGAATAATAGTGGTATTAGCTGGTTTTCCTTTTTGTTGTTGTTAAATCAGTTTCAACTCATAGCCACCCTGTATAGGGTTTCCAAGGAGCAGCTGGTGAGCTTGAACTGCCGACCTTCTGGTTCAAATCAACCTGGTAGTCCAGCACATTAACCCACAGCGCCATACCAAGTCTGTCTTATAGGTGTATGGATACCATCCTATCACAGACAGTGTTGTATTTCAAGACAGACCTTGGCATGTTCTTTCTGATGATGAATGCAATACTATTCCACTTTAATTTGTCATCCCAGGCAGAGCAAACCATTTGAGTGTTAGGTTCAAAATGACCAATACCAGTCCATTTCAGCTCACTAAAGCCTAGGATATCAGGGTTTACGCATTCCATTTCATATTTGACAATTTCCAATTTTCCTAGCTTCATACTTCATACATTCCATGTTCCAATCATTAACAGCTGTTTGCAGCAGTTTCTCTTCATTTAGAGGTATGCGCATCTGTTAATGAAGGCCCTAAAGATTTTTACTCCATTCACATCAACATGGTCAATCCTACTTTGAAGTGGCAGCTCTTCCCCAGTCGTATTTTAAGTGCCTTCCAACCTGAGGGGCTCATCTTCTAGAAGGCACTCTATCTGATAATATTCTAGTGCTCTTCATCATGTTACAGTAGTCAATATTCTGGTGCAGGCAGTTTTCCAGTTATTCATAAGGTTGTCAGTGACAAAATATTCGGAAGTAGTCCACCTTCCTTCTTCCTAGTCTGTCTTCATCTGGGAGCTCAGCTGAAACCTGTCCACCCTGGGTGATCCAGCTGGTGTTTAAAAAACCCGTGGTATAGCTTCCAGAATCACAGCAACATGCCTGCCACTGTAGTACCACAAACTGACAGATGAGTGGTTGGAGGGAGACCATGATTTAAGGATTTCTTAGATAGTAAATTGTAAGCACTAACACTATTATTTCAGTAATCTTATACATTAATTTCTTATTCGTGCTTCTTCATAATGAAGTAGATTCATAAGAGACAGCCCATAAAATTGATTACTAATGTTTCAGAAAATACATGTAATGGTATACTTAAATATATTGTTAAGATATGCCAGGATAAGAGTTCCTTGGAAAAATACGTTTGTGAAATGCTAAATTTACTGCAGGACTTTTCAGAGCCTTTAATGTTATTATTGTTGTTGTTATGTGCTGTCGAGTTGGTTCCGACTCATAGTGATCCTGTATAGGGTTTCTGTGGAGCCGCTGGTAGATCTGAACTACCAACCCTGTGGTTCCAAGTCCAGTGCTGATCCAACGGCACCACACTGGTAAATATAAATATAAGAGAAGATATGATATGCATTATTTCCCAAATATATTTGATGGTTCTCATCTCTTCCATGAAACAAAGAAAAAGTAGTTATTTTTCTAATTTTAGATAGTATATATTTATATCACACAAAAATCTGATATAGCAATTAGGACATGATACAATGAAGCCAGGATCTGAGGCTTTACCTCTGTGTGTAAATGTATACAAATAAATTAGAAGGCCTAAGAGTCACCTTAATATTTGAGGTAGGATTAATATTACTAATAAGGGATCATTCTGTGGGTTCTTACCAGTTAAAGTCTGATTATAGGGCGCATTGGCTGCTGCAATGCATTCTGACCAGACCTGGCTTTGTTCATCATATGACATTACGAAGACAAAGTCACAAGCATCGGCAATTCCAGAATAATTATAGCACCTTCTATCTATGTGCTTCGGAGACCAAGCTACATCAAAGGTTACCTGTGGAAAAACACACACACCATTTAATGTAACATAATCAACTCTGTAGATCATGTCAGATGTTTCACTGATTACAGGTAGTCCCCAGGTTGTGAACGTCCAGCCTATGTACAACCTGCAGTTGAACCAGCCTCAGTAAAGCCTATTACATTAAAAATTCCAAGTGCATTCCATGGTTCAAAAGCACTACTTTGCAATGGACACCAAAACATTATTATTATAACTGTATAAGAAGTCCTGGTAGCACAGTGGGTTAAGCATTGAGCAGCTAACTGGAAGGCTGACAATTCGAAACCACCAGTCACTCTAAAGGAGGAAGATGAGGTAGGCGAAATAGTCTGCTTCCATAAAGGCTTAAAGCCTCACAAACTATAGGAAAGTTCTACTCTGTCCTATAGGTTTGCTATGAGTCAGAATTGACGCCATGCAGTGGATATTTTTTGGTTTGGAAGTGTTTCTTTAATGTACCCTACATACTATGTTGTTGTTGTGAAGTGCCGTTGAGTTGATTCCAACCTATAGTGACCGTGTATAGGGTTTCCAAGGAGTAGCTGGTGAGCTTGAACTGCCAACCTTTCAGTTCAAATGGCTTTACAGTCTGGAGCATTAACCCATAGCGCCACACCAGGACTCCCTACATACTATACGGTAATACAAATATGTAACTAACTGACATTAGATACATACCTGACTTGAGACTTAAATACAAATTCGACTTTCAACAGACTTAGAAATGGAACTCAATAATGAGCTGGGGACTGTCTAGATATGTTTTCTGTCCCATACTACCAAGGAAAAAAGAATTGTTTACGACATATGAATTTAAAGTTTTGACATGTAAAGAAGTAGAACAGTTCTAAGAAATGTATATTTTGCCCATACTAGAATGACCAACACATATATTTGGATGTACCAGGGCCGGGGGACACTATAGAAAAGGGGCTTTCAACTCAAATGTCTTCAGAAGCTGTAACTTAACTTAATTGTAAGAGGCAGGTTATGAGGCATGAGGTTCCGGGATAGGGGTCGGGGGCCTAAGCAAATGAAGAGTAAAGTTGCACTAAAAGCATTCAAATATAAAAGTTTTAAAGAACATTATACAGGTTTAACAGGTGATCTGTTGGCACAAGCTTACCGGCCTTATTGTGAGTTTCAGATCCCTGATTCACAATTATGTTACAAGGTAGTTTTGACTCAGCATTACAGTTAGAGGTGTTTTGTGGCCATGGCTACAGATAGATTCATCAACTCAAAGTGCTGAACACATTATTTAGATAATACTCTTTTAAGTAAATATTTTTAAAAAACTGATAGACTCTGGAATAGACCATCAGTTACATATATGCAAGTTCAGGCTGAAGCTGAAGAAAATTAAAACAAGTCCACGAGAGCCAAAATGTGCCCTTGAATATATCCCACCTGAATTTAGAGATTTGATGTATGAGACACTAATAAACGAAGACCAGAAGAGTTGTAGTTAAGAACATCATACGGAACGAAAGCAAAAGGTCATTAAAAAGATAGGAAAGAAAGAAAAGACCAAAATAGATATCAGAAGAGACTCTGACACAAGCTCCATATTTGTGCCTGTTCCAAAGACAAGTGATCCAATAGAATGTGGAAATCAAATAACAATATCAATGATATCATATGCAATTCTGATTTTGCTGAAGGTCAGTCAAAAACAGTTGCAATGGTACATCAACATAGAACTGTCAGAAAGTCAAAGCCAGTTTCAGAAGAGGATGTGGGTATAGGGATATCACTGCTGATATGAAATGGATCTTGGTTGAAAGAGAATACCAGAAAGATGTTTGTTTACCTGTGCTTTATTGAGGATCCAAAGACTTTAGACTGTATGGATCATGACAAATTATGGATAACATTGTGAAGACTGGGTATTCCAGAACACTTAATTGTGTTCATAAGGAATCTGTATACATTCCAAGAGGCAGTCCTTTGAACAGAACAAGGAGATACTAAATGGTTTAAAACAGGAAAGGTGTGCACCAGGGTTGTGTCCTTTCACCATATTGTCAGTCTCTATGCTGAGCAAATAATCCAAGAAGCTGGATTATATGAAGAAGACTGAGCATCAGGATTGGAGGAAGACTCATTCACAACTTGTGATATACAGATGATACAACCTTTCTTGCTAAAAGCAAAGGGGACTTAAAATACTTATTGATGAAGATCAAATACCACAGCCTTCAGTATGGGTTTCACTTCAATGTAAAGAAAACAAAAATCCTCACCATTGGACCAATAACTATCATCATGATAAATGGAGAAAAGATTGAAGTTGCCAAAAACTTCATTTTGCTTGGATCCACTATCTCCATTCACAGAAGCAGCAGTCAAGAAATTAAAGGACATATTGCATTAGACAAATCCGCTGTACAAGACCTCTTTAAAGTGTTCAAGAACAAAGGTATCCATTTGAGAACTAAGGTGGACCTGACTCAAGTCATGATATTTTCAATATGCATGTGAAAGTTGGACAATGAATAAAGAAGACCGTAGAAGAATTGATGCATTTGAACTATGATGTTGGAGGAGAAATAGTACCATGGATTGCCAAAACACCAAACCAATCTGTGTTGCCAAAGCACAGCCAGAATGTTCCTTAGAAGTCAAGATGGCTATACTTGGTTTCTCATTCTTCTGACATATTATCAGGAGGGATCAGTCTCTGGAGAGGAGCATCATGCTTGGTAAAGTAGAGGGTCAGTGAAAAAGAGGAAGACACCCAATGAGATGGATTGGCACAGTGGTAGCAGAAATGGGCTCAAATGTGACAACAACTGTGAGGGTGCTATAAGACAGGGTCATGCTTTGTTCTGAAGTGCACAGGGTCACTATGAATTGAAAACAACTCAACAGCACCTAACAACAATTCCTTGACCACAAGTCTGTAACTTAAATCATTATCTTTTCTCCAAATCTCATTTCCCTCTCCAAGACTCTCTATTTTAGTTATTTTTCTATGATCACCAGTTTAAGAAACTTTGGGATATTTTCTGACCCTTTCTTCCACAAATGTAATTAATATTTTCTCTTGTTTTGCCTCTTCCTTTCCATTAATCAATTAATTCAACAAATATTTAGAGAGTACTTGCTGAATGTTATGGTTATGCCATCATGTGCATCCAAACCATAAATCCCTCATTGCTTAGAAATTTTCCTTTTTCCTCTAGACAATCTTACACACTGATGGTGGGTCATGGTTATGTGTTGTGGAATTGGTTCCAACTCAGAGTGACTCAGTACAGGGTTTCTGATCTATTCATCTCTATGGAAAGAGAAAGCCTCATCTTTCTCCCTGGAACAGCTGGTAGACTCAAACTTCTGAAAACTCATCTCTGGAAGTGGGTGGCTAGTGTGTGTGTATTCATTTCATTTAAGAGCTACAGTTCTCTTGAGAAGCAGGCCTGGGAATCACTGCTCTGGGGCCACAGTCTCCTTTGTTATCTACACATTGCCTAGCAAGATGCCTTGTGCAATGACCTCCTGCCCATTTTTCAATGGGGAAGCACACTGCCTCTGCCATCACTCTGATAAGGACTGTAAACTTGTCCTTTGAGCTCACAGTCTATGAAATAAATAAGGGAGACATTTCCCTAGAATGACTTCTACTCTTAGGCAAGAGCTGTTTCTGTTCTGCACTGCTGAATGCACCACTTGCACAACTAGGACTTTCCTGGCCCCTGCTCTCCTCTTTGCCTATATAAAATAGAGTAAAACCTATAACCAGTGTAAGATAGAAACCTGTCAGAGAAGGAAAACTCACAGATTTTCTACTAAAAGGTAAGACTGCACCCTGTGAAGGTGAACTTGTGAGACCCGGAAAAACAAGGCAGTCCCATTGAGTTCTAGCTGTCACAGGTTTCCTGCACTTCTAATCCTGCTACAATGCAAGAAGTGTGGCAAATAAGTCTCTCTAAAGTTCAGAAATTTTTTTAGAAAGCATATACTGAAATTCTTTCCCATTCCATTAAAACAAAACTAAGATTCTATTAGTGATACCCTCATGAAACATCTGACAGGGAAAATATGGAATTTCCAAAAATACAGATGAATTTTTACCTGTGATCCTTCAATTTCACGGTGGAACGCGTCTGTGGTTTCTTTGACTAAAGCAGTTAATGCATCATATTCTGGCGATGAACAATTAACTTCTTGCTCTATGTCTATATTAATTCCATCCATATGTTGGTTTTTGGCCAAATTAAGTTTTTCAGCTATCCATGATGCTCTGAAAGTAGGATCAATGATATCCTTTACAGACACATCTCCTGTGGAAGAAATATACATTTTTTATGCAAATATGTTCTTTACAGTTTAATGGTATTTACTTTACAAGCTCATTTCAAAGATTTCAGAATGTCTTTAAAGCATTTCATTATACTGAAACACAAAACCCCCAATTTAACTTTTCCAAATGGAAAAGCAAATACAGCAAAATAACAGATAACCTATTACTCAGACTCTCCAATTTGACATTGTACAAATTAGTAAAGTCACTTTCAAATTAGCAGAAATTGTATTGTAATGAAAGATTATTACACTGATTAGACATACATTTTGCTCAAAACCACACATTGGTTTATTTAACTCTTTAATATATTTATATTTGTAAAATGAATTGAACAATATAATATGTAAGATTAATCTTTCGACTGTGTGGATAATGACAAGCTATAAATAACACTGCAAAGAACGGGTATTCCAGAACACTTAATTGTGCTCATGAGGAACCTGTACATAGACCAAGAGGCAGTTGTTCAAACAGAACAAGGATACACTGAATGGTTTAAATCAGGGAAGGTGTGCACCAGGAATAAGATTGTATTCTTTCAATCTATATGCTGAGCAAATAATCTAAGAACCTGGATTATATGAAGAACAAGGCATTAAGATTGGAGGAAGACTTATTAACAACCTGTGATATGCAGATGGCATAACCTTGCTTCTTGAGAACAAAAAGAACTTAAAATACTTACTGATGACGATCAAACACCACAGTATTCAGTATGGGTTTCACCTCAATGTAAAGAAAACAAAAATCCTCACCACTAGACCAATAAATAACAGCATGATAAATAGAGAAAAGATTGAAGTTGTCAAATGCCTAATTTTGCTTGGATCCAGTATCAACAATCATGGAAGCAACAGTCAAGAAATCAAAACGGCGCATTACATTAACCAAATCTGTTGCACAAGACCTCTTTAACGTGTCAAGAACAAAGATCTAAGTTTGAAGCTAAGATGTGCCTGACCCAAGCCATGGTATTTTCAATAGCTTCAGGTGCACGTGAAAAGTTGAACAGTGAATAAGGAAAGCCATAGAAGAATTGATGCATTTGAGTTATAGTGTTGGAGAAGAATATGAAAAATGCCATGGACTTCCAGAAGAATAAACAAACCTGTGTTTGAAGAAGTACTGCCAGAATGCTCCTTAGAAGCCAGGATGATGAGGCTTCATCTCTCATACTTGGGGCATGTTATCATAAGGGACCAGCCCTTGAGAAGAACATCATGCTTGGTAAAGTGGAGGGTCAGAGAAAACATAGGAAGACCCCAACAAGATAGATTGGCACACTTTGGTTGTTTAAATTATTATATATTCCTGAGTGTGCTTGTGTACATTTCCCCCTCCCCCACCAACCACCCCCCCCAAAAAAAAAAAAGGAAAACAGAGGGAATGGAAGCAAATACTGTTGAATGATGATGCACAGAGGAGACTGCAATCATTGCAATGAAACGATGGTGTAAAGCCAATGTTCTCCCATGTAAACTATCACTCAGTTCACAATAATAAAAAATAATGATAATAAATAAATAAAAATCAAATACATTATCATTGTGTATGGTATCAGCATATTAAAGTAAGTTATGTTAACTGCTGATAAATATTGCCAATCTTGCATTCACTATGTATGTTTAGAAGTATTGGCGCTAAATAAACACCAGCAAATATGAAAACAACAACAACAACAAAAAGACAGACTGGCACAGTGGCAAGAGCAATGGACTTAAGTGCGACAGCAATTGTGAAGATGACACAGGACAGGACAGTGCTTTGTTCTATTGTGCAGAGGGTCACTATGAGATGGAATCAACTCAATCGTACCTAGCAACAAGATTAATCTTAGGATGCTAAAAAAATCAGATAAACACAAAGAAGAATTTGGAGGAAATTCAGGACTGGTAACAAGTCGATTCTGACTCACAGGGACCCTACAGGACAGAGGAGAACTGCCCCATAGGATCTCCAACCTTGTAAGTATGTACAGAAGAAGACTGCCTCATCTTTTTCCCTTGGAGGGTTTAGTGGACTCAAACCACCAATTTTTCAATTAGTCAACCAATGTTTAACCCATGGCACTACTAGGGGTAAATGTAAATTTACCAATTACATATAGTTGGTAAAAATTGTAACTTACCTTTTAGGACTACTCTGGCTCCTCTGAAGTGAGCATAGCACATAAGTTCTGAGTCATATTTTCCAAAGGTTGCTACAGTTGTAATCTGTGACCAGTCATAAGATTTCCAAGTTTTGTATCCAACATCGAACACAAAGACCTGCCAGAACAACAGTAACAAATAGTTAAATAAACCAATATATGATTCTGAGCAAAATGTGAATGCCTAATTATTACCCCGGAGTCCTGGTGTGGCGCTGTGGGTTAATGCACCAGACTGCAAAGCCGTTTGAATTGCAAGGTTGGTGGTTCAAGCTCTCCAGCTGCTCCTCAGAAACCCTATACAGGGTCACTATGGGTTGGAATCAACTCAATGGCACTTAACAACAGCAATTATTACTTAAACCAAGAAAAATACTATGGTAGTCATCCAAAACACATTTAACACCATCCATATAGCCAGACACTATATTGTACACTGAGAGTACATCACTAAATAAGACATACCAACCAAGTACATTGCTATGAAGTCAATTCCAACTCATAGTGACCCCATCAAGAGAGAAGATCTGCCCCCTAGGGATTTCTTGGATGTAATCTTAAAGGAAACAGATTGGCAGGTGTTTCTCCCACGGAACTGCCGGTGTGTTCTAATGTCAACCTTCTGTTAGCAGCTTTAACCCTTGTACCCGTAGGGCTCCTATGTTTATACACGTTGCTGTTAGGTGCTCTTGAGTCAGTTTCAACCCAGATCACAGCCCTATGTACAACAGAACAAAACACTGCCTGGCATAGTATCATCTTCATAATTGTCGCTAAGCTGGAGCTCATTGTTGCAACCACTGTGTCAATTCATCTTGTTGAGGATCTTCCCCTTTTCAGATGACCCTCTACCAAGCATGAGGACCTTTTCCAGGGACTGGTCCATTCCTGATAACATGTGCTAAGTACATGAAATGAAGTCTCTCTTGCTATCCTTGCTTTTAAGTAAGAACCATTCTGAATACTTCTTCCAAGACTGATTTACTCATTCTTCTGGCAGTTTCATGGTAATATTCACTATTCTTCACCAAAACCATAATTCAAAGGCATCAATTCTTCTCTTCCATATAATCCTGTTCAGCTTTCCCACACTTAAAGCAACTGAAAACACAGCCTGGGTCAGGTGTATCTTAGTTCTCAAAGTGACAGCTTTGCTTTTTAACATTTTAAAGTGGTCTTTTGCAGCCGATTTGCCCAGTGCAATAAGTCATTTGATTTCTTAACTGCTATGTCATGGGCATTGATTGTGGATCAATGATAAATGAAATCCTTGATCACGTCAATGTTTTCTTCGTTTATCATGATGTTGCTAATTGATCTAGTTGTGAGGAATTTTGTTTTCTTTAAATTCATGTGTAATCTATACTGAAGGCTTTGATCTTCATCAGTAAGTGCTTCAAGTCCTTTTTGCTTTCAGCAAGCAAGGTTGTGCTGCCTGTAAATCCCAGATTGTTAATGAATCTTCCTCCAATCCTGACGTCACATTCCTCTTCATACAGTCCAGTTTCCTGGATTATGTACTTAACATACAGAATGAATAAATATGGTGAAAGGTTACAACCCTGATATACAACTTTAATGATTTTAAACCAAACAGCATCCCCTTGTTCTGTTCAAATGACTGCCTCTCAGTCTATGCCAGGTTCTTCAAGAGCTCAGTTCTGGAATTCCCATTTTTCCCAATGTTACCCACAATTTCTTATGATCAAAACAGTAAATAAAACCCAAGTAAACAACTTTCTGTATTCTCTGCTTTCAGCCAAGATCTATCTGATTATCAGCAATACTTGCTCCATTCGCTTCTGAGTTTGGCTTGAATTTCTGGAGTGTGTGTGTGTATCTACCTACATATACATATATATATATATGTCCTGGTGTAGCACTGTGGGTTAATGTGTCGGACTGGTCGGACTGCAAGGTCAGTTTGAACCACAAGGTCAGTGGTTCAAGCTCACCAGCTGTTTCTCGGAAACCCTAAACATATATATATATATATATAAGCTTGAACTGCCGACCTTGCAGCTCAAACGGCTTTGCAGTCTGATGCATTAACCCACACCAGGACTCTCTCTACACACACACACACATACACATATGTTGTTATTTGTTTATATATATATGTTGTTGTTGTTTGCCGTGGAGTCGGTTCCGACTCATAGCGACCCTGTACAGGGTTTCCGAGGCTGTAAATTTTTATGGGAGCAGAAAGCCTCATCTTTCTCTCACGGAACAGCTGGTAGTTTCGAATTGCTGACCGTATATATACAAATTTATTGTATACATATATACAAATCTACATATGTATATTGTATGTATATATATATATATATGTATGTTATTGTTGTTAAGTGCAAGGACTGCAAGGTCAA